GGCCGGTCACCGCACCCTGACGCCTTAAAGCGGGCGTGCTCGCGGGCGCTCCTCTCCCAACAACTACCGAATAAATCCCCGTGACGGAAAGGTCGGATCGCGGGCGTCCGTCCCGCCGGCACCCTCCTCGTCGTCGGTCGGCGTTGTGACGCAGCACAGCCACCCTACAGCTCGGTTAAGCCCAAATGCTATGTTTATTGAGGACGTCTAATATCGTGATACCTTGGTTCAGTAATTTGCGAAATATCTAAATACCGTTAAATATATTTAAAAAAAAAAAAGAAACAAAAAAAACCCCCCAACCCAAAACCCCTAACCAGACTCTGGACTAAACAAGATGAATGTTAAACTAAAAAGTTAGAAGGGACGCTGTTTACATTAACACTTTCTTTAAAAAATATAATTGCTTTTCCTTTTTTGAAGTCAATTAACCACAGTGGTGAGGCGCGCTCTCTTTTTCAGCTGTTACAGCGCAGCGCGCGGCGTTTTTACTCCCCAGGTCGCACCGTAACCGAACCGAAAGGGACAACTCGCACCCGCCTGCGGAACGGTGCCGTCTCCCCGTCGCGTGGAAAAGAGTTGCGTCACCACTGCGCGATAAGGGCGGCCGAAAACCAGGAGTCTCTTGGTCGATGCCGGTGATGCGGTCGAGAAAAACCTTTCCGTGTTCGAATAGAAAAGTCCGTAGGAAGCTGTGGAGAGGATCAGTCCAGAGGAGTAACAAACTCTTTATGTCCGTCCGAGTATCAGTCAATGTACTGCGATAGCCAGCGGAAGCCTTCGCCGTAGCCTTGCCTCTTCAGCACGCTGCACATGAACACCTCCATGGGACGCGCGTTCAGGTCCTTCAGCGGCACGTTTCCCTAGGGAAATCCAAAGGGAAATCAAGAGGGGGGGGAAAAAAAAGAAACCAACCCCCAAACCCCTCTCCGCCCTGGGAATTTCCTCTCCAGACCCCTTCGCGAGAGGGACCTGCCCACGGGACGTCGGGAGCCAGCGGCGTGGGAGAACGGGCGTCAGAAACACGGGGACGAACCGTTTTGGAGGCGCGCGGCCTGATGCACCTGCAACGCTCGGCAGCGCGACGCAAGGAGCGATCGTCCTCGCAGAGATAACAAGCTCGCACCGAGGGAAGTCCTGCAGCGTTTTTACTACCGTTACCCAGCATTTCTGATCGGGTCTTTTGAACCGTACCGGGTTTTTTTACCACGTAAAAAACGATTAGAAAGTTAACTGGACGGAAGCGCGGAGCCAGGCGACGCGTTAAAATACCAGCCTGACGCCCGATTCTGTAATCGTCGTGTTTCGCACAATGCTGGCGGTTTCAGAACTTGCGCGAGGCCGTTCCTACGACCCATGCGGATGCCTCCCTACCTTTCCCGTGGTCTGTCCGTAGAGCCCAAAGATCTCCCGCAGTTTCTCCTCGCTGATGGCCTCCGGTCTGTCGATTTTATTACCCAAAATAAGGATTGGCACGTTGGATATTGTTTCATCTGTCATTAGCGCCTGCGGGCAAGGTGGGGGGGAAAAAAAAAAAAAAGAGTTAAGCAGAGGCAAAGAACCCCCCATTAATGGTTTGAATAAAACCACTTTCTTGAAGCTGTGTGACCAACACGGGCTGGGTTTTGGTGGCACAGTCCTCCTGAGGAAGAGGAGGCTCTCCAGAAAGGTTTCTCAGCCGCAGGTCCTACCGAAACCCACGGGAGGTTTTAAAACGGCTTCGAAGGCCGACCCGCTTACGTTAAGCTCAACTTTGGATTCCATAAGACGGGAGTGATCTGCGCAGTCCACCAGGAAGACGATCCCGTTGATGGCTGGCAGGTAGTTCTTCCACACCCGGCGAGCTGGAACACAGAAGCGACATAGACACCGGCTGAGGCCGCGAGGCAGGCAGTTTGGAGAGGCAGTTGCACTCCCCCTGCTCTCACGAGTAAGTCTCGGCAAGCGAGGACGCATTTTTAACCGTTTCCTCCGGTATTTTTGTATTTAAAAAAAGATAAAAAAGGCAGGAAAAAACTTTTCTCAGAAGGTCTAGAAAGTCTAAAAATAAAAATTCAGCAATTATTCAAAAGACTAAGCCCATGACATTCAAATCTAAAAATATTTCAGGCAGCAGAGCATGAACTGGCAGCATTTTTTTTCCAAGCTGCCAGAATGAAGCAGAATTAACTGAACCACTGAAACAACTGGTACCCCAGAGCCAGGAGGTTTACTTCCACGTATCGCTCCATAAATAATTTCAAGCAACAAATAATTAGGTGCTGCTAACTGCTGTCACTTTTCAGTATCACTTTTGGGTCGATTTTTCTTTGGGTGGCTGGAGAACGTGGCGGAAATCAGAAGGTTGAGCTCATTCGGTGCCTCCCACTCAGCGATTTCACTTTTACCTTGTTCATGTCCACCCAGATCAAAAGTCGTAAAGGTCATTCCGGCAATCGTCAGCTCCTCTGATGCTGAAAAGTAAAAACACAGGCTGTTTCGCAGGAACATAAAGCAGCTGTCATGGCCAGGATTTCCTGGGGGCTCGTGTTAACACCACACACGCTCCTTGCCCGAGATATCCTGTAGAATTCAGGAATTCCCTGGCGAATTCAGTCAGTGAAACAGAGTCGTTTCACAAAATCACGAGCGGGAGAACACAATTTCTCCTACCTCCCCACTTCAGCGTGTGCTTATTAATCTGCAATGATTATATTTTATCACACTTTTCACGAGAAATCCTCTCCCTCCCCAAGAGAGGGACCACGCCAGTTCTCGGGATCTTCGTTTTATATTTGAGCGGAAAACGCAAACCCACTTCAGCTCCTCGGATGCGGTTTTAAGACCTCTCAAGTCTGTCGCCCGAATACAGAGCTATCACCCAGAGGCATTTTGACACCAGGAACCCAAAATCCAAGAGGGAAAAACCACCCCAAGGAGGCAGGCGGGGCTGGATCGCTGGCAGACTTACTGGGATGTAGTGTCGGGACGTGCTGGCCCAGCCTGTCGTCTTTAAGCATGTGCAGCAGAGTGGTTTTGCCCGCGTTATCCAAACCCAGGAACACAAGTTTTCCAGATTTCTTGTACAAACCTGGAAGGAAAACAAAGCAGCAAGATTAAAAAAAAATATAAAAAAAACCCAAAAATAAAACCCAGCAGGCTTGTCTCGGGATGCGAGCAGAAACACTGTGACGCTTGCCGTGGTTTCTATACGAACCCCTCTCCCAGAGCTATACTGCCACCTGTACATTTACAGCACTTCCAGCACGGGCACGGAACAGCAGGGAAAAAAAAACCCCAGTACAGCCTGAACTGGCTTTTAGCAAGGCAACACAAGGTAACGTCTACAGCAAGGGAGGCATTTCTGTGAGGAACGTATTCGTTTCTCAGAGACGTCATAGTAAAAGAGTGTGCAGCGAAGTATTCTTTACAGGCAACGAGTTACAGACCCGCCTGTCAGCCCAAAGGGGTATTTAAACGTAAAAATGAAATAAACCCACAAATTAGCAGCGAGCTGTCGAAGAAAAAGTGCAGCGCCTGAATCAACACAGCATTTTCTTTAGACAAACTGATTTTTTTTTTTCCCCGCGAGTTCCCTTAGGTTTCCACCAAGCGTTTTTCCTCATCCCTCCCCGCACCCCGTCCTCCAGCAAGGACTCTGGCAGGAGGCGCTTCGCCATCACCCGCGCCTCAGGAAAGGGCCGCTCGCGTCACGGTGAGGCGGCCAGCCCAGCCGCGCGGGTCGCCCCGAGTTGGGCAACGCTTTGGTCACAGCGTCTTTGCAAAAGAGCCTTCGACCCGGGTCACGTTGGGGACGTTTGGTCAGCGGCCAGCAGCACGCCCAGGCACGCCACGTTGGGGTAGGAAACGAGCGTTTGAGGAGAAGCAAGGCAGCAGGGAGAAATGAGGATGAGCTGGGATATGGGGAGGAAGAGGGGGCGGAAGAGGGGGAGGAATGTCCCCGGCCGGGTTGCCGTCCCCGCCTTTGGCGTCACCCCAGCCGCTCTCGGGCGTCTAAACAGCAAGGCTGAGCGGGAGCCAAACGCCTCCAAAATGTTCTAAAATTTTCTAGTGTGGAAAAAAAAAACCCCAACCCCCAACCAAGCCCTTTTCTGACGTGCAGCTTTCCGGCCAGGCCCTGCGGCAGTCGGAGCTACGGCACGCTCCGAGAGGGACGAGCTTCACCGGCTAACTGCGAAGTGATCCTGGCAAGGGGCACCAGGCAAACGGCCCCCGGGGCAGCCCGAGCCGAGGTGTGTAAGAAGTGACGTCACGCAGCATTACCTAGAAACTGCAGCATGCTGCTGAA